TCCACAATCTTTAACTTTTTGTGTCTTTCCCCAATGGCGCATACCCCTCAATACCTGTTTTCCAGTCATGACTGCTGTTCCACCATGTTTTCATTATTCCTATAATATTTGGTTTCAATTCCTTTACCCATAGTTCTAGTTCCTCCATTTTGTCATGCAGGCTCCTAGCATTGGGATACAGGCAAGTTGTTTCTGCTTGGTCTCACCCAGATTTCTTGACAGATTAATCGTCATTGTACTATCAGCATTGCCTGCCTGACTGTTACTGTCATTGGTACTGGCACTATCCTTCCTCTTGTTGTCCATTCTTCTACCCTCTGCTGTTCCTTTCTCCATTACTGTATCTTTTTATTTCATTTTCCTTCTGCTCAGTATTAGAATCAAGCATGGAGATTACATGAGCATCCCCAAATTCCAATTGAAAGCTCTTTTAATCAGTTGTGCCAACCTTCATCCCAGGTATCTTACCATCTCTACTCAGGTGGAGTCTATCCCATGAGACCAGTTCTCTGTCCAGGATTGCCTCCCAGTCATTGAACATCCCAAAGCCCTCCTCATAGCACCACTGCCTGACCCATCTGTTGATCATCGTAATCCTGTCTTGCCTTCCCTATCCTCCTCCAGGGACAGCTAGACTCCCACTGAAGATTTTCTGAGCTGCCATTTCTTTAAGCATCTTCCCCAGCCTGGTGTCGTTTTCCTTGATGCATCCCAGTGAGGATCTATCAATATCATTTGTTCCCACATGGACAGTCAGTGGATTCTTTCATGCTCCCATTAGGATCCTCTTCAGCCTTGTGTCCACAATCTGTATCTTAGCATCTGGAAGACAACACATCCTTCTGTTCTCCAGATCACCTCTGGTGACCGGTCTGACTATTTTTCAAAGCAGGGACTCCCCATTCATGTAGAACTGCCTCTTCCTGGTGTTCCCTCTTCTGTTCTTTCTGGCTGCAAGCCATCTTGTCTTCTGTTCCCACTTGCAGTCTTCTGTGAGTCTTACTCTGTCCTCCTCACACACTGAAGTCTGGCTATTTCTATTGTCTCTCACAACACACTGCCTCCCCTACTAGACTTTGCAAACTGAAATCAGACTAACAAATACTCTCCAAGAACTTATATACTGCCCCTAAGTGGCAGGGGCTTACCTCCCTTCTCCTCCAACAGATCTCCATTCAACTTCACCTGTTTTCAGCTCAAAAGAAGGGCCGTGTTTGCAAGAGATTCAGTTGTGGGATTTTATCTGTTGAACGGTGAAAGTGACTAACACGAGCCCTTCTAAATAGTTAAATGGCCAATATTTTGTAATGCAAGACAGAAAATAAGTTTATTTCAGGTTGATACAATGTTTGGGTTGAGAGGATTTTTAAAGGGATTATCTTCTCTTGGGATCTCTGACTGGGTTGAACATTTACACTCAAACAAAATGGTGCCATTTTTTTGGCCATCTTATTTTGTAATGGTAATTTGCACTACCATCAAAGATCCAAGAATGCTGCTTCAATAGGCTTTGTTACTAATGCCTCTGTCAAAGATATTTAAATAAAAATCTACTGCATCACACACAATGTAGCTTCCCTTGGTAGTCTTTTAGAGGACTTCTTTATACCTTGGTGCTAAGCAAAATTCTATTCAGTAATTATGAAGTACAGTTCATAATACAAGCATTGTTCCATACACAAATATGGGTCATATTGTGACACCCTATGTGACCTGAGAATTATTTTATGACTAATTAATTGCAATGGATTTACTCCTGGAGTTGGGTACTACTCAGTGGAAGTAGGATTTTGGAATTTGGGCATCTATTAGAAGTTTTAGGTTGCGCACTTAAACACACTACAGTCAAGAAATGGTAAAGTTAAGATTGCACATGCAGTCTAGGTATTCAGATTGTGTACATAGTACATGTGAATATCCTAATCCTAGAACTGTTTGGCTAGATGCCATTGCAGTGCACCTTAGGAAGTATTACAGAAGAGATCTTTTACTGTGACCCTTAAGACCTGCACAGCCCTTAAGTTGTATTATAATGGAACTTCCTCTTGTACTTCTTACAAGCAGCATTCCCTAACCTCTGTGTATTTTTCATGGCCCCCAGAGTCTGAACTAAGGGCTCCTGCTGATAGAGAGATTTTCCTGGTGTTGGATAAAATCCTGCCCCATTGAAATTCGTTTGTGTTTTGCCATTGACATAAATGGGGCCAGTATTTCACCTCTGAAGCCTAAATTTTCCTTTTCTTAGTTTCATCCATTAATTTCAGCTATTCCCCTTAAAATCATCCCAACGTGGTTCTTTGGTTGTCTTGGTGTTTATTTCCTTCAAGTAACTGTAGGTATTTATCCTACCCCAGTGAATCAGGGATATTATTTACAATATGTAAAAACTGCAAGAAACCCATGGGGTTTATTGTGGTTGGGGAATTGGTAAAAAAACAGCCTTGCAGAACTGGAGGTACTTTTCATCTAAGCTTTGTGCAAAGTCTACTATGGGTACAGTGGAAGTCATGTGCATGTCTATTAATGTATCCATCAACACATACTCTGAACAAATTAAATATCTTATAGTAAGCATCCTTTATATAGAGTTTCACTAAGCTGAAAACTGCAGCAAAGAGTTATAGGAAAAACTAACTCTATTTTGAATCACACATTAGTTGTTGCTATTTGTTTAGCTGGAAGAAAAGAGAATGGTCTCTGAATAGATTCCATTTTTCTCCAATAAATTTTAAAAGATTTTTCCACTGGCAGTGGTTGATAGAGTTCATTGAGTGCTGGTGATTTTTTTATTTATCTTTGTTCTTCTGTGTGCTAATTTTCTGTGTAGTTTATTCATTTGGGCCAATAACTGTAATAGTATTGTCTGTGCTAAGTCTTTCACTATCTTTCTGTGTCTATAAATACCTTTACAATTTTTAGGACTGTTTTTCCATGTCCCTCTTATTATTCCCTCCCCACTCTTCCCCCCGACTATTCTTTTATTCCTCTTTCTTCATTCTGGGATTTTGCTGAGTGGAAGCACTTGTTGGTCAGTGTGGTTGACTGAATAGAAACAGTTAAGATGGTAAACCTGTCTATATTTCTCCATCTGTTCTGTGTTATACATTAGACCCGTGAGTTGTGAAGGGTCATCCATTTGCTGGGCATGCTTCATTGATCAGTACTGACATGTTAAAGGAAAGAGTGAATTTGGCTGCAACAAGCTACTGAAATAAAATTATACTGGAGAATTAATTGTTGATCTTGGTTCAAAGGATTATTCTAATGTCAATAATCCAATGGCTGAAAACTGAAGCTAAACAAATTCAGAGTGAAAATAAGGTAAATATTTAGTAGTAAGGGTAATTAACAATTAGAACAATTTACCAGTGGTCATAGTGGATTCTCCATCACTGACCATTTTAAAATCAGGATTGGATCTTTTTTCTCAAAGATAAACTCTAGGAATTATTTTGGGGAAGTTCTATGACTTGTTTTATACAGGAGGTCAGACTAGCTGATCACAATGGTCCCTTTTGGCCTCAGAATCTATTAATCTGTGAATCCTGACAAAAAGTTTATGGATCTAGGCAATGTCAAACTGGTAATACTAGATCCTGATTGTTTCTCTTAGTATTTACAAACCTATGGCACTGCTTCTGCAGCTCAAAACAAAGACTACTCATATGCAGTGTAGTGTCATTTCAGTTGTCAGTCTGACCCACGTGGTTTTGTTTAAAAATATGTGTTCCCCTAGCAACTCTTAAATTATATTTTATTTGCATTTGGGTGTGAAAGAGCTGTTTTAAAGAAGAAGCCAAGATTGCACCCTGGGGTGTCAGTCTCTAATTCTGTTAATAGAATCTCTAATTCTATGAGTTTGATAAAACTAGTTAGTCTCTAGTTCTTTTAAAAATGCATTTTAAATTAGCATTTAACTTGTTTTGTGTGGCCCTCTGTAGACTATATGCTAGTAACCTGGCCTTTTCTTCCTTCTCCTGGAAAATCATCTCTATGGCTGGTGTATCCTAGGGTACAGGCTTCCTAGGACCAATTTAAAAACTTTATTGATGCAATCTCACTGTTTTTTCCCCATGTGGTTTCTTAATTTATTATTTATTTATTTAGTGTATTTTTGTTTATTCCCTTAAAAACTACCAAGGTCATTGTAATGTAGAAATTATGATGACCCACATACAGGATCATAGCTCAAAATAGGAAACTCCTTCCTCTGGAATGTAATGACTATGGAGGAGAACCATACATGCAACAACAATTATTATACCTGTGTATTGTTGGATATAGGGTCATTTTATTTGTTTTATTTCCTTTGTTCACCGTGGTAGATTTAATGTATAAAACGTGTTTAACACATGTCAAATTGCTTGTCGCCATGTTGCTTGGTGAGATTTTTATCTAAATGTCCTTATATAAAAGCTGTCTTTACTTTCTTTTTTTTTTAGATTTAAATAACAAAAATTACCCATCCAAAATGCCCTAGGTGCCCTAACAATTGCCTATCATTAGAAATGACTACCTAGTAGCAAAAAATTATATATAAATAATTAATTATCTGAGGGAGTCAATAATTCAAAGAAGCAAAAGAGCCACTTTTCGTCCTCCCCCGCCATCTCTGCCACTAAAGAGCATATTCTCATCTGTCCCTGAAAACCTTGTCAAATAAATGGCTTTTGCAGCGTGCCCCAAAGGTCCTCAAGTTCAGGCAATTTCAGAGGAAGGAGCATATAACTATCTGGTGATATCTTTGAGAGCAAAGATAAATCATACATCCAAGTCAATAACATTATTCAAAGATATAAAACCATGGCATGCTTAACTTAGATAAAGTCAAGCCAAATTTACACTAGTATAATATCATTTTTATCTACTTGTTTGTATTGTATCATGTTCTTTTAATAACAAAAATGATTTCTGTTAGGTTCACTAGATGTAGAATTCAGAAACACATACATAATGTACTAATATTGGAAATTTTTTTCATGTCTTCTTTCTTGCATTAGTGTCTGAAGTCCATGTGTCTCAAACTATTTCTTCAGATGTTCTACTGGAGTATTCTCTGCCTTCTGCTTGCTTTGTCCCTTCTGATTCATTCATCTTATCAGGTGAAGATGAACTGACAGCTGTTCAAACATCCAGCAGTATTTTAAACCCAGCTGTTCTTAAAGAACAGGTAAGCACATAATCTTACTTTTATTACAGAAAGTTGATGTATTTTATCCGTTGGCATTGTATTTTTTCTTATCAAATTAGACATTTTTTTTTCTTAAGGGACAAAAGTTGACTCTTGAGTAGTTTCTACAGGTGTAATTTCAGAGCAAGGATATCAGTTACCAGTCTCTGAATATTCATTGTGAAGATGAGTACCTTTGAATTCTTTGAGATGGCAGAATATAATTAAGTTACAAAGCAATGTAGGTTTTAGCATGTATGTATAATATTTGATAAAAATGTAGTTTATCCACACTGAAATGCTTCTCAACCTCAAAACAGTAATTTCAGTATATAAGTACTCTTTCTTAAATAAAAGGGTTTTTTTAAAGTAATTTGTGAGACATCACAATACTTTCATATGGTCCCCAACTGAGCTACATACATTCAAATGTGCTCAATGTTAAGCATATGCTTAAGTGCCTTGCTAAACTGGGACCATAATGCTGAAATACAGGAGGCATTGGCAGGAATGTTCTTTGGAAAAAGTATTGCTGTTAAAGTTACCAAAAATTTCAGAAATAGTCACGGCTTAAAAATGTCCTTTCTAGCAGCTTTAGAATTAGACAGTTACCTTAAGATTTACAAGCCCCCTCACTCACAGTTAATGGTATCTTACTCTTCAAGTATTCTCATTAACCTCAGTGAGGCTACTCGTCATGTAAAGTACAATCCAAAGTGAATTAGGGGTAACCATTTGGCTGTTGGTAAACTGTTATTTTAATGGTATTTCAGATGCAAATGTTTTGATGGTAGCGCTTGAGACGCAGGTCTGCTAACCATCATGTAATGTATGTTTTGGCAAACTGACATTTAAATCTTCTACTGAAAGTAAAGTTTTCATAGCTCTTATATGAAATATAATTTCAAAATATGGTCTGTCATATATTATTTATGATGAAATAATATACTTTGTCTCTCTTATGAATTAGGTTCAGTTATCAGCCAGTTCTTCCTTGGATATCTCAATTCCTTCTTTGAGTTTAACAGAAGGAAAACCTTCAGAAAAATTAACCATCTCTGTGGGTGACTCTGAGAAGCAGGGGATAAATGGATCAAAGAAGTATCTTCAACCAACAGTTGCAAGTCTAGAGATTAAACTCAAAGATGCTGAAGAAGAAAGATATAGAATTAAAAAGGTATGGCTGCTCTTAAATGCATGCAGAACTTAATGATAGCAGGAGCTGGCAGTGGCACCCATAGCTAAGGTGTTTAATATTTTCTGTTACGAGACCTTGTTTTCAGTTACTTATAATTTTGCCAAAGTTTAGCTGTTCAGACTTAAATTTGCCATGTGTGGGTCTGCCTCAGGCAGTTTTTTTTTTTTTTTTTAATTTAAGCAACAAATGGTTCAACTTTATTCTAAGAATTTGGTTAGGGAAAAGTATTGTCTTTCCAGTGTGAAAACACACTTAGAACCATTTTGTTGAGACGTTCTAGCACCTCCCTGCTCTGGAACAGGGACTTGACATTTTGATATTGGGGTTGCCCTGGGGTCAGACAGGTGCCTTTTGCTGTCTCTGGAAATCCATGTTCAGTACAGCTTTGTAAGAGACTGACAGTCAAATTCTTCGAATTACAGGTACAATGAATACACTGTTGCCTAGGGCTGAGCAGTTCTTTCCTTGCAATTGCTTCTCCCAGCTATTGAGGGTTCTAGGGCACTGGATATTGGAACTGAGCGGGCACACTTCAGCTCCTGTGCTCTCAATGACTTCCTGCCTGATGCCCAGGCAGTATGGACAAGGAGGAGGAATTTAATTGGAATGTAGAGGTGTTAAGGAACAGAAGCAAGGACCATGACAGAATAGGGGTGATAAGAGCTGAGGAGGACAGGAATAGGCTGGAAGGGCAAAAGAAGCAAGTTGGCATAGACTGAGATGGAGACATGTTAGACAACAGGTGCAGAAATACTGGGCATAATGCCAGCTTACCTGACTCTTTAATTTGAGCCCTGGGATATTTTGGCATCAGTAAGCCACCAGGATATCGGTGTGTGCTTTGGATTACCTGGAAATCAGTGCGCAATTTTTTTACATGGAAGGCAGAAGTCAATACATTCAGTTACTGAACACAACACATGGTGGTGTTCATTTTTGGGAGATGCTTAGTGTGACCCAGAGGCCTCTGTGCCAACTGGCAGAGAGGTGTATAACGGTTACAGGGATCCCCTTGGTCTGTGATCTGCATGGGAGTTTGCCAGTGTCTGGTAGTTGGGGGTCTCGTGAGACCCCCGATGCTGTCTATTTTTGCATAATAGCAGATGTCATAAAACCATCAGAAGTATAGCTAGTTTGGAATGACTTCCTGAAGATTGTACTCTCACATTTAAAAATAAAAACAAAAATCTGTGTAACTTTTCCTATTGTTAGGAGTTAGAAGATTTGATGGAAAAGCATAGTATCCTACAAGCAGATTTCTTGAAAGAAAAGGAAGGTGAATTCATCTCACACCACGATCGCTACAAAAAGCTGCAGGTAATTCTTCTCTGCTTGTCCTTCTGGCAAAGATTATGTGTAATATATATGTTTAATATTCCATAAGTTCTGTATCTAGGTATCTGTGGGCTTGATCCACAGCCTGTTAAAGTCACTGAGAGAATTTTGGTTTATTTTTATGGCCTTTTTGGAGCAGGCTTGATGTTCTTCACCGGCAGGGGCATGGACTTAATGACCAGACTTCTTTGATCTTAAATTGGTACACTTATGCGTTATTATGCTTAAAAGGTGTTAAGCTCACTTAAATAGGAAGTAGAATAGTTTGAGCATTGCATCAGAAATACGTGGATCAAAAATAAGTGTAACTAGGTAATTGTCGGATAACAGGATAAAAACCACTTTCATCACATCAACTTCAAGTCATTGCATTAGATATGTGCCCAAATCCCTTGACACCAACAAGAAAGGTTATTTAATTTCTTTTATTTAAAAAAAGTTTTCAGTATCATTTAGTTACCTTGGAAGGCACTTAAAAAAACAAAAACTCTCAAAGGTTGATCATGGGGCTCCAACATCGCTTGACTCTTGACATTCCTAAATGGTAATTGTGGTGTTTTCCATTACATTTAAGGCTGGCTGCAATAAAATATATCCTCCTTCAGGTAGGAGTGAATTCTTGGCTGCTCTACCTTCAAGCTGTATGGTGATATTTTTTTCTACCTCTCTATGCAACTAGCCTCTTGAAGTCAGGAATCTTTGCCTAATGACAGAAGTGGATATACTGGATCAGTTTGCTAACTACATTTTTAAAATAAAGTTTGCTTAAAATCCTTCCTTATTTACAAAGTCAGAGTATATATTGATTATAAGGTTAATCATCACATTGTTCATAAAGCCAGACATTTGAATTACATTTGTTTTTTTAATACTTTGAGAAAGGCTTTCCTTTGGTGCATGAATAGAGTTTAAGAAAAGGGACTACTAATCAGGCTAACAAGAACCGGAGTGTCTGTATTGTACCTTTTCGCTATGTCAGATTCTACAGCTTTCAAGAATGCCAAATGAAAGGGTCATAGCCTTTAACTTACTTTGAAGAAAGACTCATGTACTTCCTCCTTCCCTCTTCTGTTGTCTTCAGGGTATAGTCTGAATCAAACCAGAGAAGAGAAGTAGTCATACTTCTAGGAGCTGACAGCTAAAATTACTTTTATGTAACTTGAATATTGGACTCTTTCTGTTAGTACAGCTATTAATGCCAATTCCTTTTGTCTTCCTCCTTTGGCTTCATAGCACTTAGGTCAACACCTGTGGCCACACACTGAGTAAACTTGGCCTCTGCAGAGTACAGATGTCCGGCTTGCCAACAAATCTTTTTCCAGCAGAAACAGCTGGTTATTAGGCTATTGACTTGTGTAGCTTAAGAACGGGCTGTATTAGAGACTGAAATATCCTTGGGAGTTCTCAGAGAAAGCCTATGACTGATCCTGACTTCCCAAACAATAGTTTTCATTGATTTACCTCCTGTTATAAGTTTGTTTATTCTAATGTTTGAAAATATTAGCCAGTACAAATACATCTCAGGATCCTTATACGAGGTCATTTATGTGAAAATGCATTGTTTCGGATGACCTTATATATTTGTTTTATGAACCTATTCATGCTATCTATAATGACCACCCACATATCACTGAGTAGATTCTTTTCATACCACTGAATACTACCATCCACAAACATATGTGCTGTTTATAAAAAAAAAAAAAAAGAGTTTATCCAACACTTGTAACATAAAGAATCCTCAAGATGACTCGATTTACTTTCAGTGGAGAACTAGTGATGGACAAAGTTGTTGGGAAGTAGTAGTAATCCAAACTACAGGCCAAAACTTGAAACAATGTAAAATTAATTTTTTTTAGGCTAGGAAATGTTTGGATAAGTAGACGGTTCCTTTAATGCCAGCAGCTACCTGTGTTGAGGCCTGAGAGGATGTCAGCAGTAAGTAGACACATACATAGACATTGATAGGTACAGCATATAAATCCAAAACATAAATAAATGATAAATCTCCTGTTTTACAAGGCATGCAGGAAAAGCAAAGAAGTGCAATGGAGATTCCTCTGTCTTGACAGAATTACTCATTTAAACAACCTTAATGATGGTGCTTCTTTTGAACCAAAGGCAGTCACAAGTTTTAATCATTCCAGTTCCTTTTTCTGGTGGCAGTTGTTTGCCCTCCAGGTTTCTGAGATGATACCCATACTTTTACAGTCTTCTGTTTTCGGTTTTCCACAAAAACGAAATAGTTCTACATATGGTTCCGTCCACTGATAACAAGTACCCCACTAAATATCTGATTCAAGAAATTGTCCTTTGTGTTTTTCTTACAAACATCTCCCTCCAGCAAGGATGACTGTTATTTCTGTGCCTTAGTTGTCATGAAATTCTATTTGAATGCTATGTATACGCTTTTCAATTTTTTGTGAGTTTGTCCATTTAAATATATTGAAAGACTAAGGAAAGGGCATAAAGCAAGTAAAATTGAGTTCTGTAAATGGATTAGTGTTTTTGTGTTACTGAGCTAAAAGCTGCTTAGGGCTGCCAGGACCCACAAAAAAGAACCCTCCCGCAACTGCAAAGCTGACGTGTGGTCTTATGAACACATACAGATAGAAAAGCTAAGACACAGAGGTTACAGTATTGAGGCAGAAAGATCATTATTGTTATAGCTGAGACTAGAATTCAGAGATTGTATGCTTTAATACCAGCACTTGACCTAACAGATGACAATACCGTGCTCTCTCACTCATCTGTACTATCTATAAAAGAGGGAAATAAAAATTTCTCAGACTAGTGTTTCTCTAAAAATTCAAGTATAAAAAGTCAAATGTGAATGTAGCATGTGGTATTCTCACATTCTTCATGTTGTTCTCAAATATTTCTGCAACAGCTATAAAAGGGCAGAGTAGAACATTCATAATTTGAATGGACAAATTGCTCTTATTTGATATTATATACTTTATCCAATATTTAATGCAAATTTATGGTTGAGATTTCACATACACAAGCTAGTAAATTGAGTTATGATTCCCACATTCTCACTTGAGTATTTTTAATATTTTAAAATACAGAACAACATATTGTAACTTTAACTTCTTTGCATATGAAATGTGGCCATGTTACAACTGCTGTGGGAACCATAACTTTGAATTTCCTGACTTTTCTGTATGCAACCTCTCAACCATAAAATTGCATTAATGCAGTTTTATCCATATAATTTCCTTGGTTACTTAAAGAGAAAGAAAGGAAGCAGGTGCCAGTATTTGTGTCTGATTTTCTGATCAATCAATGTATATTCATCTCAAATTTCTTATGCTCTGTGTTCCTATGCCCCTGAATGCCCTGTGCTGGACCTAATGCTTTTTTGTGGATACATATGTTTGCCTCTGCAAATGAAGGTTGTCATTTTAAACTTGTGAAAATAAAACTGTGGCATATTTTTTATTGATATTCTGTAGAACTGAATATTATCTAAGTGTTGCAGATCTAAACTTAGTGATAAGGAGCTATTTCTAATAAAGATAGATATTACGATAATACTAAAGGCAATTGTCCCTTATTAATAGATGACATTCTCATATTAAAAGCAAAACAGACAGTTAACATTTAATTTGAGAAGGAGAAAACATTGCATTTCATGTGTTGCTGTAAAACTAGATTCCAAAACTATGAAGTGGAAACTAATTCTTTTGATACATTCTTTATCTGATATGATTTCTGATATTTGGTCTGTGTGCAGACGACCGCATTAGATGGTTCGCTAAAAGTGGATAGTTATTTTCCTCCTCCTTTTCTTTGATTTACCACACAGATTTATTTGAAGTGATATAGTCTCACTGTTGGGAAATTCTAATTGCATCTATAAAAATCTTCCCCATTGCCAGCCATTTTACAAGTTAAGAAGGTTTTTTTTCCCCCACAGAACAATGTAATTGATGTGGGGTGATCTTTCCTTTGAAACACTGTTTCAAGATTTTTCTTTTGGCAGCCCTCTTTTGTTTTTAATTAAAAAACAACAACAACAAGACATATAGTTGTTTTGGAAATTTTTTTAAAATTCTTTTTAAAATCCTTGTTCTCATTGCTTTTCCTTTTTGTTTAGGGATTGTCTTTACAACTTGCTTCCAAAGTTGATTTCATTCTGCCTGTTTAAGTTAACAATATTCCAATTGTGGTAATAGTCATGAGGAAAAATGATTTCATTTTGATGACATTTAGACTGAAACATCTGTTTTTCTCTTTGTATTCATAACAGTAGTGTAAACTGGAGGGTAATCAGCAGGTCAGGTAGACTCCATAATATCAAAATGTTTTATAGATATGAGGATAAAAGAAACTGGTGCTTCAGAGGGGCACATTTTCAATGCAATACATGATGAATGTTTGAGTTACACTAGGTCCATTGTCTTTAATGGGACTTGTGTCCAAATTTCCTCTGTTCTTTATCAAACATTTAACGTAAATTGGGATCCAACACTTCATGTAGGAATACTGTTCTTGTTGCTGTTAGATGACAAAATTCATATGTATTATATTGCTGTTTTTGATATTATAGGGTATTCAAAGAGTACCTGTTAAACTCACAGTTCTGGACATAGAGTGTGTAAAATTATGAGAAGAGAAACACAGAATTACTGTATTTGCATAAGTGCATTTGAAACAATATAACTGAAAATAATAAACTCTAAATTTTGTGTGCGCAGTTCATGCCCATATAACCTTTGAGGCAAGTTGATGTGGTTATGTTTCTATTATGATCAGTATCTGCTTGTTTCTTTATTTTTGGGAGGTTAGTTTTGTATAAACATGATTGGGTTATGGGTTTTGTGACGTTCTAAATTTTATAATTTTTTGTTTTTTAAAAAAGAAATAAAGGAAACACTTTCTGGATTTGTTAAAAATGAGTCATATGATTCTGATTTGACTTGCAGGGAATGGCATGAAAAGTATTACAAACAGAATAATTTAAATATGCAATAATTTCA